ATCCGACAAAACCTATCACGTGATAGTAAAAATGTCATGTGGCAATCAACCTTGCCATGTTGTAGTCAAATCAGCCACATTAGCATTCCATATTCTCATGTAGCTATGGACACTTATATAGGGAACCAAAAAAAAAAAATCAAAGGTTAGGCATTGAAACGAAAAAAAAAATTAAAAATTAGGTACCAAAAATATAGTTTTTTAAAGTTATTTATTGTTTCGAGATTGCAAAATTAGTCCAATAATTTTTAATAAATATTTTTCATGTCATGCTTATGAAATGTTTTTTTTTTTACTTAACAATGGTAATTTTTAGTACTCGTATCGCTTAAAAATTATTTTTAAAAAATTTTATACCTTTCTACATGTCTAGATAAATTTAAAATTATGTCATTTAATCCAAATATATATAAGGTTCAATTAAGATTAAATTTTAAAAAAAATAGAAGAGATATAAGATTCAATTATGATCATCATTTATAGAACAAATAGTTGGTCAACGAGAGAAAGTTACGTAAAATAAAATTGCTTCTTTTGTCTAGGAAGAAAATTGACAAACATATCATGAGTGACATAAGCTTATTGTAGCCAATAACTTGTTGAACTTCCTACAGTAATTTGAGATGGAATAGAATCAACATAAATAAATTTGGTGATCAAGCTTTTTGACTTGAGCGTTTAAAGTATAATATTTTTTATAGCAATAATGATAGCGACATAGGTAATAAGTAAGTCGTGAATTAAGTTAAAAAGTAAATGTATTATTAAATTACTTGTGCAATTAGCATAATAACAAAAACAAAAAATATACGTGCATGTAATTGTTGATGTTTTTAGAATTTAAAATAATATGATTTTCAATATAAAAAAAAAGTTTATATATATGGAAGTACAAGAAATGCATGAAATCTATTTACAACAAAAAAAAGACATATCGTAGTACAAAAAAAATGATAGACATTTAGTGTGAAAAAATAGAAATAAATTTTTTGAGAAAAATATATTTTTGGTGCCCAATCATTAATATTTTTTTTTCTAGTTAGGTGCCCAATCTTTTTTTTTTCAATGCCTAATCTTTAATTTTTTTTTCCGTCCGAATTCCCATACCTATCTAGGAATATGAGGTGCCGACATGTCAAAGTTGATTGTCACATAACAAATCTCGTTGGACACATCACCAAAATTGGATTTCAGATGAACTTGAGCATAAAAAAAAAATTAAAAAAAAAATCAAAGTTTGGGTAACAAATCATGAGAAATCAACTACTGGACACCAAAACAGAAAAAAAATTCTAAGGTTGGCACCAAAAAAGCCTTTCTCTCTCATTTAATTAGAAAAAAAAATTGAAAATTTGCGTAATTAAATGATTTTTTAAAAAGAATTTAGACATTAGATAAGTAATTATCTCTTTTAATAGCAGAAGGAAATTTCTCATTCTTTTGCTGTTTTTTTTTTCCTTTAATTCTTCGAACGCCCAATGAGTATAGCTTAACTATATAGGAGGAGTAACTTTTTTCCATTTCTATATCCCAATTCATTTATCCTAACATTTGAACCAAAAAAATAATAGTAGAGACCTCAAACTTTAGCGTTCATTGATTTATCTATCTTTATATATTGGCTGCATTCCTTCGTATGCTCTTTTAAGAATTTTTTTTTTTTTTTTTTACCCTCACATGCCTTTATACCCTTATGTTTTCTACAATATGCCCTTTTGTTCTTTTATTTTGGAAGAAAATATGTCCTTATGATCATTAAAAAAAAAATCAAAAACATAAAAAAAGTAATTATTAATTAATATTTTAAAATAACTTGAAAAGTCAAGGAACTCCCCCCCCCAAAAAAAAATAATAATAAAATAAACCTAAAAAAAGAGAAAAAAATCATAAAACGTAAAAAATTAAATTAACTTTGAAATTTTTCAAATAAGAAAAAACCGTGTATATAAAGCCTCGCATATAGCAATATTTCTATAGAAATGAAATTGTTTCGCAAAACATGAGTTTTTCAAAAAAACAAAAAAAAAAAATTTAATGGGTTATTCAACTACTTAGAGGTGTTCAAAAATTTTAATTTTCCATTTTTTTTTTTTTTGGTTTTTCAAGTTTTTTTAAGGTCTTAATTTTTTTTTTTAATGTTTTGAATTTATTTATTTATTTTTGTAATCTAAAGAGAATTGTTTACCAGAAAGTGATAAAAAAACATACGTGAAAAATATAAGTATACAGTACCATATAAAAGTGAATATATATATATAATATTATCATTATTCTAAGATTGATAGATTTAATATTATCCTAAAACCTTAATCTCTAAATTGTATATTTCTATTATTTTTTTCTCTAGATAAATGAATTAGCTTTGATAGATTAAAAGAAAAAACAAATAGTGGTGGACCTTACTATGAAATCATATATCAAAGTAAAAAACAAATTTTAGATTACTCTATGAGTAATTACTAATACTTATTCCATAAGAAAAAGATTGACAAAAAAAAAAAAAAAAGAGAGAGAAATAGGAAATACTTTTTTTAAAAAAAAATTGAGTTTAGGTGAAAATCTTCTTATTATTTTTGATAAATTTAAATGTAATTCTCTCTTTTTGTATGTGTCTATCTTTTTTTTTCTTTTCTTTTAATCAAAAGTAAGTCTATAGAGTAAAAGATAGATACAAAAAAGAGAGAGAAATAGAAAATATTGAAAAAAAAATGAGTTTAGGTCGAAATCTTCTTATCACTTTTGATAAGTTTGAATGTAATTCTCTATTATTTGTATGTGTCTATTTTTGTTTTTTTGAAAGTGAGTCTATAGAATAATTATTGTATATTAATATAACTTACTCGTGGAGTATTTTAAAATTTATCGAAAGTAAGATTATATGAAAATCAAATAAACAACTATTGTGCACACATGGTAGTAAAACTAAAATTTGAAGAAGCATCCTCTAATATTTTAGTTTTATACGCTATACAACAAACAATTTGACATATCAATTTCACTAACTCAAAAGGTGGAATGCCTACATTGTTGTCATTTAATCTTTAATTTCTTTGCTTCCATATCCCATAAATGGCAGTATTCCAAGCAATGATCCTAATAAGAACAAGTGAGAAGTTTCTCTTGAGCATTTGGCTATAATTTCCTCACAAACTTCTTACACTTATTTCCTATAATTAGAGCATCTTCTCGCATTTTGTTAGTAGGAACCATTCAATATTGGTTTTGTTAGTAAAAACCTAAGGTCATAATTCTCTAAAAAGTTGTTACTTAAGGGATCTCTGTTCATTCAAAAATCCTATTTCTCTAAAAATCGAGCTCTTCAAGAAAATCGTTCCTTTGGAAATATATTCCTCTAGGAATTTTTTTCTCCTAGAAACTTATGGCTAAATTCCTCCAAGAAACTACGGTCATGGTTCTACAAGAACCTTATTCTTCTAGGAAACATGTTTTTTTATGAATCCTATTTTTTTAGAAATTCGTATTGTGAGGAATTCTACTCGTTCGAGAATTAAGTTCCTCTAGAAATTTTTTTCTCCGACAATCACGTTCCTTTGAGAACTTCCAGCCACATTCTTTTGAGAACCTATGGCCACATTTATTTGGGAAGTCATTCCTCCGAGAACCTTAATCCTTACCAATCTCCTCCGAAAAGCCATTCCTTCAGGACCTATCCCTTTAGGAATCCTATTACTCCGAGAAGCACGTTCCTTCGTCAATTCGTTCCTACAAAAACTCATTCATCCAAAAATCTGTTCCTTTAGGAACTTCATTCCCATGAGAATCGTTCCTTTGGAAATCTTATTTCTCCAAGAACCCATCTTCTAGAATGGTGTTCCTCCAAAAACTTACAACCATGTTCTTTTGGAAACCTATAACCATGTTGCTTTGAGTACTTACGACAATATTCTTCTACGAACCAACTATTATTTTACTTAACAAACAATTATTTTACCTAGGTATAAAGGCAACATTCCTCTAAAATTATGTGTTTCAATCTTGTCTAGGTGTAGAGGAACACCTTGCCTAGGTATGAGGCACTACCCCATCTAGTACTAGGAATGGCAATTGCTCGTCAGAATGGCAATTTCGTTAGACGAGCAAATTGCCATTCCTAGTACCGGATGGGGGTAGTGCCTTTATACCTAGGCTAGGTGTACGAAGCAAATTGCCATTCCTAGTACCAGATTGGGTAATGCCTCTATACCTCCGCTCCTCCCCACCCTAGTCAATGTGGGATTCCCCGAGTTGATTAGGGAACGGGATAGGGAACCCGCATTAGGGATGGGATGGGGATGGTATTTGCTCGCTTCGCTTCGCCTTTTCCTTTGAAAATTATAATTATACCCAATATATATATAAATCCCGAGGCTACAAACTAGTTTCAAATGTAATGAGTAAGTTTTGATAATCTTTAAGCAATAAAGACATGCAAGAATTTATGTTTTTTAATTACATTTGTGATATTTCATCAACTTAATTAATTATATTATTTATTCAATTGAAAATAATTTAATATATTATGAGTTATGTTGTAAACTTGTAGTTAAATAGGATGTTAAATTATTATTATTTTTAATTATATTTTTTATATGAACTATTATCTTTTCATTATAATTTAAAATTTGATATAAAATAATATGAGGTAGAATGAAACAGAGTGGATGCAAAAAATAAAGAGAGCACTGGTGCCTCGCGGCGATCCCCATTGGCCTGTGGGGATCCTCGATGCCTGACAGGGATCCCATCCCCTGCCTCGCGTAGGGATGGGGTAGGGACGGGCAGAGTTTTGATCCCCACCCCCATTGCCATTCCTATTCGGCACAAAGGGTAAACACTTTAAGCAAAATTTTGGAATCATCCTATATGCCTTCTCAACCATCCTTTGAAGCACATTGGTTGATCATCCTATTAAAAATCCTTAGTGTCAATCTCTGTCTAATCGACCACATACCAAAAACTGAATGCAACTCTCCAAACCTTCAATCCAGTCAGATAAGGCATCAATCAAGATGGTCAGATAGTTTATATTTTAGTTGCCGTATCTCCAAATTCTCAATCTGCAAAAATTACATCATACAATAAAAATATCAACTTAATTATTGGGGTGTTTTTGCCGGACACCCCTAGCACTATTTACTTGGGTGCTTGAGTTTGATATGTACAAGACTGGAGAGTACACTCCCACCATTTCTCAATCCGTTAAAAAAAGGTTGATTTTCAGGTCTACCAAATATAAATGCCAAAATCTTGTGCATCGTCAACCATCTTTCTTATAAAAGATCTAAAGATCGACCCACCATCGTTAGTTCAGCAAGTTTTAATGCTAACATTCTCGTAAATCATAGATGCACCTTCAAGATTGATGGAAGGGTGATGATGCATGCGTGGGGGCTGCTTTGAACGTTGAAGGTGATGCGACCCGCCGCTGAATCACGAGATAAACCGGGCGACTTTATTTAGAAGTAGAGCTCCAGCAATCTAAACTCGTAGCTAGTGGACGTGTCTCTCTTAGAGGTCCATTTCACCATTCTCTTTCGGTTGCACTTCACGGGGGTCCCATAAACAAACCCTTTCTTCCCTATTACTGGCTCACGGCTATATATATATATTTTTGGCTAATACAATCACGATTTCAGACTTATTTCATCTTGATCACTTCTTAAACATGTTGGTGAAAAAAAGAAAAAGAAAAAAGAAACGAATTTCTGTTTAGATTCGATTCTTTAATAGTAATTGTTTATGTCTAAAATAAATTATAGTCTCAACGACAATGAGTGATTCAATGATAAAAATTTTGAACTTTAAATTTCATTTTTTTTTAATGTTTTTTCTAACTATAACAAAACTTATATTTGATTTTTCGATTTCAAGAATATAAAGAGTTTGAAATCCTCAATTTTAAAATCAAAATGCTTGAAGGGTGATCAATTCCCAAATTACAATAAATAAACAAACTATGGTTTCTACAGGGTTAGGACCACGGACTAAACTGCTTGTGTGTTTAAGGAATGAGGGGGACTATGAAGACTTTTAATTTTTCTTTATCTGAGGACTATGGAGGACTTAAAAAGTTTGTGTTGGGCCATTGTATTGGGATATTGGCACCTGGCACTTGCAATTAACGAGGCGATACCAAAACCGATGTACGGCAGCAGTATATTATGGAGATAGAGGCATTAATTTATTTAAATTTTTGGGAAATTTATTGACGTATGGGTTAAGCAGAGACCTGATATTGCAAAATGGAGTCACAGGTTATATTACACACAAATTATTATGAATATGAATACGAAAGTGAGTAGTTAATGGACTTTTATATTAGTAGCATTAAGTTTTTTATTTTTAGTTGTAAGAGATTATAAGTTAAATTTTTTTTAGAGTATTTGATCGTTTCATTACAAAAAGAGGTCAGAATGACCCCGGCCTCATCTTTTTTGTCTCCGTTATTTCTTAATGTTTAACAACGTACTACATAATTTTATTTACTATTATATATATATATATATATATATATATATATATATGAAAGTAAGAGCGTGCATGCAACGTGGAAGAGGTCTATGCAATTAACCGTAAATGGAGGTGGGGATTTAGGGGAAACGTATAGGAAGTGTATTAATTTGTGAGTGGAATGAGTCGTAAAGTGAAACCCTGTCCTGTGCCTTTACCCTGTTGTTTTTTCAATACAACCGAATAATTAATCTAAAGAACAACAAGAGTTTAAGGGTTTGTCTCTTTATAATCCTCTTTAGGGTTTGTCGTTTTAGGATTTTGTTTGTTCATATAATTTCTTTCTGATATCCAATGTGGACATGTGCCAACAAAGTTTAAGTGGGAATAAAAAGATTTGAGACAAAAATTCTCCCCCAAGTGGTCTGTGGCCCCATGCCTATGATCCTCCCATCAGCCATATTTCAAAGTCTTTTTCCATTATCCACCCAGTTTTATTTTGCTATTTTTCCAAATAACTTTATCCATGTATGATGTGTATGTTTTTTCTAATTTGTGTAGCAAGCCCAGGTTCAGACTATTGTAGTCCAACATAGTCCCCACCAAAGTTATGCGTATTAGACAACTTGACCATCAGCCTGTCTCTCTCCAATCAATCATTGTGTTTATATGCCATATAGTCGTTGGAAATATTGCTTGTATTATTGCACCTATTCCTCGATATTCTTGTTGTCTCCTAAACTTGACCAATTGATGTACTACACATATATATAGTGTATTATTGCCATGGCTACAAGAACAATACCGCCTTTGTTTAACTTGTACTTTCGCAACAATTGAGATACTAAAATGGGTTTTAGTTACCAAAATGGAGAAGTATAGTTAGTGATGATGCAGTGGCTCGTGTGTGTAAGGGATGCAGATAGCAGACTAAACCATTGGAGGGTTCACATCTGAACGGGCAGCTTCTTCTATGGTGTCACATTTTTCCTTGAGATGACATGGAAAGCAGATGATTAGTACTGTACAAGCATGCAAACAAAAGATTAGGGGGATCATAACATGCACTTTTGGTTTTAGGAAGACAATTTTTTAAGCTTGTTTTCTGTTCTTTTGTGAGAGCTGAAGATTCGGTAGTCAGACTAGTATAGTTTTGTCTCTCCCAAGCTTTATGCAGAGAGAGCGAGCTTTCTTTTCTTTTTTCTTTTTGTCATTTTTTCTAGACGAAAAGGAACAAAGAGAAATTAATTAAGTCTTTCAGCATTTAAAATTAAACCCCAACAAAAAATAGCAGTCCTGCAGAACCTTAAAATTGATAAATAAACACACATGACAAGGATACGATGACCAATGGTTGTGCGTGTGTATATATATATATTTGGTGGGGGCATGGCTTTGCTACCTTTCTGGAAAATACTAAATTTACGATGCTAAGTACAATAATTATGTTATGGATCGATCTTCTGCCCCTACATCATTAATTCATTATCCCTCCTCTTGTACACAGAACCTTAATAATGATCATGAACACACGACACCAGAACATGACCCATGTTAGTACCGTGGGGTAACGCTGCATTACTGGAAATTATCATGTCACTATATAACTGTATAGTGCTTCTACTATAACACCATTGATTAATTCATCATCCCTCTTCCTATTGAGAAGTATTTGTTGCTCTTTACTTGGGGTTTGAAATACATATGATTAATTGGAGTATTTAATTTTTAGGGTCCATTTCATATCAAGTTTTACCTTTAGAATTATACTTTTAAAACTATTGGAAGGGTGGTTTGGTAATGCGTCTTTAAATGTGCCTTAACTGCGCTTGAAAGTCATTTTTAAAATGTGTTACAACTGAATTTTCAAACGTTTTTAGATGATTTTTATATGTTAATGTAAAGAATATTTGATATTTTTTCAATCTAAAATTGTTATTACATAAAAAACCAACTCTGCCTATGTTTATATCATGTATTCTTTGAATTTTTTAAATTGAAATTTTTTACTCTGTTTTGACTTGATTGAAACACTTTATTTTTCAAAATTTTTTTTATTTTAAACTTTTTGTTATAATATCACAAATTAATGATTGACGTATGAAATTATAAAACAAGAATTTGAAGATTAAAAATAATGTGTCGATCATTGATTTGTTACATTATATCGGAAGATCTAAAATAAGAAATTTCAAAAGAAAAATTTTTTTTAATCAAGTAAAAAAAAATAGAAATTTTTAATAAAAAAAATAAAAAATGCAGAGTTTAAATCTAGAAAAAACCTAAAAAAAAAAAAAAAAACAAGTGCACCGTATTACTAAACAATATGGAAGAGAGGATACGTTTTGAAGCTGTGGAGCTCACTTTCAAAATCATGAACATGAAGAGTGGCTCTAAGTTTGGCAACATGTCTTGTGTTAGGCAAATAATGCAAAGATAAACATGCGCACCCAATAGATTCCACAAATTTCGCCAAAGCCATTATTTCCAATAATGCTGTCTTATTGTAAGCCTTGAGACATTATAGTCCATAATTACTCAAACCGATTCTCCTTCATCTTTTAGGAGAATAAGATTGAAAAGAAAATAAGTGTGCAAATACCACATTCAACTGTGAATAAAAGAGCAAAAAGTAGCAAGCACATCATTACCATAGAAATATGAATGCAAAAGGACAATCTAATTGAGAGTCCTTTACCCCACACAGACATACAGCACATATTAATCAGAGGCTTTTTATTTTCCCAATTTAAAAACAATGTATCAAATGATAGTCCACTTCATACAATGCCTCCATTTTGGACCCAGCATGCCTGTGCAATACTCCATTCACATTTTACCCCATTAATCAAGTTTATATCTTAATTATTCAGGCCAAATTTGACACAATTCATTCCATGTGGTATCTTCTCCATGTAAATATAGGGGACTGCTCTGTTCTTGATGTCTTCTAACCAATACAACTTGAATCATCAGTCTATCGAATTTTGTTTTTGGGGGCTTGGAAATGAGTTATCATATTATTTCAGAGGTTCCTATGGGTCTCTTTGTAGAGTCTAAAATGACCATGATTAGTCTAATCCTTAGCAAATAGGCGCACATGAACACAGCTTCTAATCCTTAAAATTCCTTGCTGCACTAGCCATCATAGCTTCAAAAAAACCTACGGTAATTATTCAAGTGGAGTGAAGGAATCCCAAGAAAGAATTGAGAGTTTGGCATGTTACTAAAGCAAGACAAAGTCATACATACATACAAGAGCATATTTTTCAGGCATACCTTCTTAGGGATTTACAAATATTCCAAGATATCTCTGGTAGTGTTATTACTAGTGCTTGGAGAGCTACATTATTGACTGACATGCCTTGAAATTTACAAGAAAAGGGGGCTAAGGCATGTAGTTTTATATTAAAATTGCACGAAAAATCATAAGGAGAACTAATTTCTCAAAGGTGAGAGATTGGAAAAAGGTAAAGATGATCTTTGCTTTTTTCCCTTTTTCTTTTTTAATTTTAAAGTAGAGAGGCCTATGAACTATGCACGAAAGGATGTACCTGAAATAAAGTGTACTAACAAGAAAGATCCAAAAAATTTCACCCCGCCTTTTTTTTGATGGATCTCGGCCTGTTGATTCCAACGAAACAAGATAATGGTTACTAATTCACAAAACTAATGGAACCTATGGCCCATGAGGCTATCAATGGGCCAGACAAAACATTAACAGAGCAGACCCACCTCTTCTTTGAGCCAAGTTGGTAGTTGGTCCGCAATTTGAACCCTTTTTCCCTTACACATATTGAACATGGGTTCCGTCTTCAAGTTCTGGGGTCTAGAATCTTTGGTTTTACGTACACTCAGCACGTTGAAGGTTGACACAAGTTAATCCTTGCTGTTGCTGAGGTTCTCCTTCACTATCTCAACAACCCTTTCGGATAGACTCTCAGCAAATGTTCCTAACAAAGGTTCCAGTCCTGAAACTTCAACCCTACTCTTGCTTGACATGTGGCTCCTACGTTGCACCTGTTCCGAAATTGCATTGAGTTTATTCGCAATTGATGGCATTAGCTTCCCTGCGTCACTATATAACTTAGCTCCAGGACTATTTGATATCTCGTCTGTGGAGATCATAGTTCCTAATTCTGAAAATAAATGGACTGCATTCTCAGCAGCGTTGTCCAAATTGATTACTGCTTCCCAGCATTGAGTTAGTTTTTGCTGAAGATTCTTTCCTTCGGCTTCAGGAATGTGTTCCTTTTGATCCATGGCCTCTGATAATTTCACGTTTAAAGAATCTTCTGCGAGGACGCATTTAGTCAATTCAACTTGCGAGAGAGGATGAGTTGAGATCAGCAAGCCCTGTGTTGAGTTCCTTAGGTCCTGCAAGGGGCGTAAGCAGCCAAAACAATTTAATGTGGTGATCTAGGGTTGTATTTTCTTTATAAGAACATATTAATTCCTTGAAGTTCTTGAAATTTCTGGTCATGTGTTTTAGTGCTTCATAATTTGTCTGGATAAGACATTAAACCAAAAGATACAGATCCATATTCAACAAGAAGCACTTAAACTATCCAAAGAAAAAGGAAAACGCCAATATTGTTTCTCATATATAATAAAACAAAATAACTTTCTACGTATCAAAACCTTCCCAAGATGGAAAGAACATGAACAATGAGGATTTGAAACAAACTGAAAGACAAACCTGTTTGGAAGATTCTGTCTCTTGCTGTTCGTCCAGATTCTGGGTTATTGGATCCTCTGAGGTAACGTGGGGGACAGCTTCTGCTCTGTAGTTCGAGGTTTTATGATGAAAATTTTGGACAGGTGTGTCAAACAGTTCCTTGCATCCTCCTGTATGGTCCTGGCGCACCACATATTTTGCAGAGTGCCTTCTTGGAACTGATGATTTACTTCCCTCCACCTGAAAACAAGATATTACATGGTGAATATCACAGTAAATCTGTAAAGCTTCACGTCCTAATTATTTGGGTCAATGAAATATTGTTATTATATGACATTTCCTCTTCTATTATTTGTCTGTCATTGAGCTCTGTTTGGATAATATTTACCATCACTTTAATTTCCCATAATCCAATTCTCAAAAAATATGGTCAAAATGTCTCTGTTATTTATCATGTAACAATTGCGAGATTTGTGCCGTACCACAACCCCTGCCCAGGCCCTCAAATAAGTAGAACTATTTTCCAATTATACTGCACTCCAAGTATACTGCACGGAGCGTTACCAACCTTGCATGTGGTTGATAGACTGCCAAAATGATGCTTGAAAAAATCATTTCCTTCTGACTGCGTATGACCAGCATCGACTTCCATTGTTTCTTGAATTTGGCATCCAGATTTATGTGAATGCAGCTGCTCTGCCACATGACCAGCAGCTGCCTTATGGCATTTACTTGTATGATCGAAGCCAGATAAATTGTCATTTTTCCCAAGAAAGCCATAATTATCAGGACAAGCATGTCTTTTTGAACTAGCTTTGCGCCCCTCTTCTACAGCAAGGTTAGCTTGCACAGAAGAGCACCCACCATCACTTGGTTTTTCTGTTGAATTTTGTACTGCAACAAACCAGTCATAAGTAGAAAAAAATCACTTTAAGACAAGAATGACTTAAAATCTCTAATCATAAACATCTTTAATGTGTTATGCTCTTGGCCTTCAATAGAAGCTTGGTAAAACTCCGAGTAGTCTGGAGTTGCATTTCATATCATACTCAGAGCACCACCATTTAGCTGAATTTAGTAGATGCTGTGAGAAAGCTAAAAGGAAAATAAAATATTAAATCACTAACAAGAGGGAGAAGGGAAATTCCCCCAAATTATAAGGTATAAACTATGAAAACTAATAATTTTCCATGTCAGTAACACAAAAGGATGAGCAGTATTCTCCAGACAAATGTTCCAACAAACAGCAATATCAAGCAAGCCTCAAACAAAATCTCTTAGCATCTGATTCAAGCAAGCCTCAAACAAAATCTCTTAGCATCTGATTCAAGCAAGCATACGGAGTTTATCACAAAGTAGCATGCAATAAAAGAGAGAACCATTGCAATAGAGTTGCAAAGGGGGAGAGTGAAAATAGGTTTCTCTCTGCACCTAGAACCTATTTTCCACAACCACAAGGATCATGACAGAGACAAATTTGATCATTTAGCCAGTGAGGCCTACCAAACCAACTTCAGCAGTACACCAGATAGAATTTTACTTCAATAAGAGGTGGAAAGAATTACTATTGTAAATTAAACCAGCAGTGATGCCAATGGCCTAATTTGCAGACAATGATGTTGTCTAGCTAGCACTGTCTGCGTGTATCAATGTTTAGAGACAAACGAGGGAAATATGCTTCCTCCAGATTCATTGTAAAGCCTGCTGGAGTGCTTGATAACTAGTATCAGTGAGCTACATAATATTGCAAGTTTTGAGAAAAGAACTATACTGATGGATTGAAAATCACATTCACTGAAATTTTCCAAGTATTTTAGGAGACAGTGAAGGGATATTGACACAACCATGAGAATTTGTGCCAAGATGATGCATAAAGCAACTTAAGATCTTACTACTTGATATATGTATTCCCTCTGATCACCAGAATAATTCCTAGAGAAGTTACAGTAGGCTTGGTTTGAAAATTCTGTCATTTTTATCCTCTGTGTCAGCTTTGTTGATCAAGAAAAGCGACAAAGATGTCATGTGGGAATATAAGGTAAGCCTTACTTGAATTCGATGAGGCAACTGACATATTCAGATCTGCTAAATGAGGCACCACTGGAGAATTGAGTGGATCCAAACACACAGTATAAACATTGAGCCAACGTTTGTCCATGGCAAAGCAGCTAAAGAACAAATGTGGCAATGAGAAGGAGAGAATAGAGTGCCTATATTTCCAACAATAGTGAATCGACATAACTACTGAATCTCACCTGTGAGTATCTTGAGGCGTTGGTGAACTTTGGCTGTTTCCACTAGCAGAAGAACTTCCGGACAAGCTACTGATGTATGACTCCCTGCTTCCCACAACAGTACTGAGTGGACTTTGAACTTCTGGGCACGAAGCACCACATTCCCAACCGTCACCAACTGGAGGACAAGTTTTTAGTTCTACTTGCTGCTGCGGCAGGCAAGATAGCAATCAAAATAAAAGATGCACAGAATATCTATACTTGATAAAACTTGCTACAGAGCTAGAAGAATGAGTAAAACTTCTTGCATGGATAAAGTAATTGATTTGCTTTTAGAAAGTAATTCCAACTGAATGTTCAAGAGTTTTTGTTTAGAGGAATCAACAGCATCTGAAGATTTTTTTTTTTTTTTTTAATTGTTGAGCAACTTAACCGTCAGTAAGGAGCCCCAATGATTATAATGTTGTAAGTTATTACTGCTGTCATAATTTAGTACAGTCTATTGTTTTTCTAAACATCTCAAACCACAGATGCTTGTTATCCAGTACATTCTAAAGTTCTACAAATAAAAAATTATTTCTGGAGATTTAATGTAAGTTCAAAAGTCTAACTTAACACTGTGCTGAAATGAACATGTTGGGATAAAAATCCTGAAGTAAAATTATAATGCAAGCAAACATATGAGATCAGGGATATGTTTTTATTAACAACCCAAAAACCCATCTACACGAGTTTTTGTATTTGTATGTTGAGGACCTATAAAATTACCTGAAGTGAAGTGAAATCTGGATCCGTGGAAACATTACTAGAGCCTTCAACTTTGGCTTGTGCCCACCTTGGAAGTCTAGAAATGCTAAATCTAAACGTTGAGATCCTTGGAGGCAGCTCTCCTTGATAAAACTTTTTTCTCCAACTTGGTTGGAGTTTTCACGCATAAGTAATTTTTCAGCATTGTATGTGCTCTGCTGGTCTTCTTCTTCTTCAGAAACCATGATTTGACTAAAAGCAGCTGGTGGGTCCAAGTTTTTTGGAGACAAGGGAACAGCATTTTCCTTCATTCTCTGCAGCATCCTGGCAGACATACGACTCGGCAGTTTCCACAAAAAAATACAGCCATCACCTCCAACCTGACAACAAAGTAAGGAAAACTTGCATCAAAAGCCATGTTATTAGAAAGGAAAGGCTATACAAAAGCCATGTTGTTTTTCACAAAGTTTCCCTTTTACTAATCATAAAAATAAAGATCAGTTATCTTAAAGGGGTTCATTGCATGGTGCTGTCAAAAAGGTCTTAGGCTACCAAGTCACATGCGTGGAAGAGTGCAAGCCTTGCCATACCAAGATGCACAAATTTTTCCTATCCACCCTTAAATCTCTACCTATGGGCAAGTTATGAAAAAAGTTCAGGAGGAATGATACCTATTTGTCCTGATGCTATGTCATTCAATCAATGGGATTAATTAGCTCCCAGACCATGGAAACAGAACAAAGTCTTTGCCTGGAATGACAATCCAATATAGATGCTTTTAACATCAGGTAAACCTCTAACATGAACCAGCAATTGTATTATGATTATACATTTGAACGCATTTTGCACCATTAGATTATAGCAGCCTCATGACTTGTGCTGATGAAGCTAGAAAAATATGTGTAAATAAGAGTTGGTTGAGTATAGAAGATTCCATAGACATAATGCATGTTAATCAACAACGAATAAGCATAACAACGACTCACAGATACTAGATGCCTGCAGTCAGGCAAAAAGATCACACCAGTTATTACTTCACCGTGTCCCACAGCACGAGTGACCATCTCTCCACTGATAGCGTCATACATGCACATAGACTTGTTGGAGTAGGAGCATGCCAAATAACTGCAGCTTGGGTCCATTGAGACCTGTAAAACATGGTTGGCTCTCAGCATCTGAACACGATGATGCTGCATTGCCAAGCTAATCATTAATATAACTCACCTTTATGGGGTCTCCAAGATCCTTATCCTGCTTGAACGATCTAGTTAGCTTCCCAGAAGCAATGTCAAATGTGTTTATCTTCTTATCCTATTAGTAGATCAACTAAATCATCAACCATGCAAGTTCTGGATAGTGGATACTGGAAGTTCCACTACCTACCCATCATAAAATAATTCACTTCTATCTTTGAAACTTTTAATGTTACTTACCTGCCCAACTGTAACAACAAACTCCATTGCTGGATCTAAAGCCATGTCATACACAGTTCCTTGAGATGCCATTTGATGATGACGTCGTGAGATCTTACAACCGCTCTCTGCAACAGAAACATCTCGGAACACCAGTGACCTATTGAATTAAAGAACTAGGTTAACTATGAGAAAACACCAGCTAAAAAATGTAATAGCAGTCATAATTTGTCCTAAAACCAACCTAGCTAATGCATGAAAAAAAAAAAAAAAAAAGTTAGGCCATTTCAAATGTCAAAATAGATTGATTTCATTCCATTCTTTTTTGCAAGCTATCTCAAGAATATTGACGTTTTTTTCTTAATGCTTATAAAATGTAAATTTGTAGCAGTCTACCTATCAGCACTACAACTGAGAATCTTATGGCCATGGACAGTGAGTTTTACAGAAGTCACAGCGGCTGAATGGTCATCAATACTTCCAATGAGATCAAAATTCCTGAGAATTAGAGGAAACCTAATTAACCAAAAGAAACAAACAGGCTGAAAAGGTCATGAACTAATTAAAGTTAACCTTTTGGCATCATAAAGATGGATAATTCGATCTCGTCCTGCTGATGCAAGGAAGTAATTGCTATCCAGCGTTTCTTCGGAAATAACATGTTTCTTGATTGACAAGCTGAAGCTCAATGAGAGGATCTCAGCATCATGAATGCCCTGCCAGAATAGCCCATATTTATTCATCATAAGTCATACTGTACTTAAACTTCCTGTAATCCAAAAACATAATTTATAGGTTTATATTGATTTCTTTCTTGAAGCAAGCATTCCAAAATGATAGTTAGGTGCCTAATTTTTACCTGAAAACATGCATAATCAGAAGTTAATAGGTTATATATGTGAAGGCTTCCCTCGCAATCACCAGCAACTAAGTACTTTCCATCTGAACTAGCAGCCATTGACCGAAACCCTTGAATGCCAACTCCTGCCTCCACAGTATCTCGCTCCAAAATCCCAGAACTTACTGCACCAACAAAGACAATAAGAGACACTCTACCTCGCAAGAACAAGCAGACAAGTTCAACAAGTAACTATTATAAGGTTTGCCATAGAATCTTAATATTGTTCATGCATCTCTTGGTACGTGTTTTCAAAGAAGTGTGACAGGCCTCACAATCTTGAAATTTTACCTAAACGTGTGCTGCCCATTTGTTTGGCCTTCGAGGATTGATGGTCAGCGTCATCCTCTACCAAATTGGATTGCAAAGTAAGATCCCATAACCTAATAGTACCATCTGCTGAGCATGTTGCAAATGAAACTCCACCAGAACAACCTCTTGCAATACATGCAAGAGATGGATCATGCATGTTTTCACAACAAAGATTCTTGACATCCCAAATGCATGCAGAGTGTGAAACTAATGTGCAGCACCTAGTGACCTGGAATGATAAGAAAGGTTGGGTTGCACTGAGCTGGTAATCTATGTACAAGTTCCATTAAAATAACTTTGGAAGCCGAACATGAGCAACAAGCAATCAACATGCATGGCAAAGAAAATAAATGAAAGGTATAAGCTTTCAAGCAAATAAACAAGAAATACAAGAACCAAAAATATGCTTGAAGCAATTACCTCGTTCATATCATGAATATCCCAAATATAGAGGGTATGATCTCCATAAACAACCACTGTTCAAAGCACGAAAAGTGAATATTTTGAGTTGAAGGTGGATCCCCACCAATAAGAAAATAAACACTTTAACGCTTACCCAACTTTTCCGAGGTAGAGAATTGACAAGCAATGGCATCAGGCAAAGCAGGCCCAAGTTGAAAATCTTTTTCAACTTCTGTAGTCTGAAAATGAAAATTAGTCTCCCCATGGAAACTTTTGGCCCTTGAATATAGCAGAGTTCCAGCGTGATTTAGTGTCCCACTAGTAAAGAGTTTTACAATTCCATTACAACAAGCACAAGCAATGAGCTTATCAGATGCAGATAGTGCAAAGCCTTGTTCTACCTGCAATTTAAGATTTAAAGATGTAAAACAAGGGGCTGAAATCAGAAAAGAATGATGTACATAACAGATATCGTGCAATTTTGGTTTGTTGGCATTTGGACAGATTTAATATATCAATACAATACTTAAAAGTACCAGCAACCCAGCCAATATCCTGTTGTGCACAAAGTCACAACGCAACATTCGGAATAGATAAATTGAAATTGGGTCTATGAAGAATTTATTAGGCTGCGACCCTGTGCTTCTATACAAACAGAATCAACCCCTTGGGCCTCAAATCACAATCTACCTTTGCTAAGACAGAAGGAGGTATCTATCCATCAAGAACAAATTATAATTATGTAAGCATACCTTTAAGTCCACCATCTTTCTTACTGACAGCCCAGAATCCACAAGGCATAAAGTACCTGTAAGTAAAAGAAGCAGAATTGGACTAATGTCAAGAGCTCCAGTGCAATAAAAATCATAAAGTGATGGTATAGGAAATCCAACCTTCATCAGTCAACACATAAATGGGAAACAAATCACCAACTTGTTCAGGTGTAGAAGGACTATTAGTCATCCAGATTGCAGATGTGACAGAAATGAATGAACTTCCTTTCTGAGGGCCAAGATTAACAGGTTTCCCATGCAATTCAAGTGATCCTGTCCCATTGCTTAAGCGAGTCCCTGGAGAAGATCCAACTGTCCAGAATTTCAAGTGCTTTTTTCCAGCAGTCACAATGAATTTCGCATCTGATGAGAAGCTGACAGATGTAACAGCAGAACAAGATGAACTTGCTTTAAGCTTTGTCACCAAAATCCCACTTCTCCAATCCCAAAGATATATGTATCCTCCAACCGAAACAATATGCTCTCCTTGAAAATCAATAAACCAAAACATACGAGCAACACAAATATGAGAATTTCTAATAAGCCACAACAAGAACCACCTATAAAGAAAGCCATCAAATTGACTGATCGGAACTAACCATTTGGTGAGAAGGCAATACATTCAACTCCATAGAGATGACCCTTCAGTTCAGATACAAAACTCATAGTCGAACAGTCCCACACTAACACTGCTGGTTGATTCCCAGACTGCAAAAACCATATTAGATGCATATAGATACTAAAACAATTTGTGAAAAATCACATTTATCTTCTTCAAAAATCTACCCGGACTTTTAATCACTAAATTATATCATTTCAACCATTTCAATCACTAAATTCTCTTTCAAAATCGTGACAACTTCTCCTGCTATCATAAAAATATGAAATCAATTTGCAACCTCATCTAATTATTTAGAATCCATTAAAAAATAATTAGACAAACAACATACACTCATACAAATAAGCAGGGGAAAAAAAAAAGAACTACAAACTACACAGATTTTAAAAAAATCAAGTTTTGGTACCTCTCCAGCAGCTATGAAGCGGCCATCCCGAGACATGGCAACACAAGTTAAGGCTTTCGGTGGTCTATGAGACACCAAGAGATGCGATTGGGTAGTTGAATCCACATTGTAAACAACTACAACACATCCTGCAATGTAAGCAAATCTTGCCGTTGATATATTCGAAGCCAGTCCGTTCGCATTCTTCGTTGTTAATCCAATAATTTCTTCCAAAACTAGCTGAATTTTTATTAAAAAAAAAACAAAGAAACGCCAGAATTAGGCTTTGTAAAAAAAATTGGGGATTTTGGAGAATCATTGTAGCATTAGTGATGGTTCTTACCTTTGAAGATAATGATGTTTCTGATTTCTTGAATTTGCGATGGTTGATTTTCATTCTTTAGTTTGAGAAAAAGAAAATTCGTGATTTCGGAGAGAGAGAGAAGGATATTTTATGATTAAGAGATTTTTTGAAGTTTGTAGATTTTTTGAAGAGGAATGAAGCGGGAATTCTGTTCGAAAGTGTAAAGATAGGAGTTTTTAAATTATGCGTTACGGATTTGAGGAAAATTGAGTTAGGCTGCGTTTGTGTGTTCTCATTAAAAATGATTTATTTTGTTCTGATCAAAATTTAAATTAAATCACAATAGTTTTAAATTTATCGTAACATCAATCTTCGTTAATGCCATCACACATGAGAGGCAAACGAGAGAGAAAAATCATAGAAAGAAAACAAAACACATAAGCCATTTAGAGAGGAAGAAGTTTTGGAATAGTGCAAGCCCTACTTACTCACAAATAAATTCTTCTTCTTAGTTTGAAAAAAAAATGTAAATATAACCATGCATAATGTTAAAAATATGGTTTCAAAATTTTTTAGATATGATTATGAATTTAAATAGACAAACGTTATTTTTCTTATGTAATTATGAATTAGTTAAAAATATTAAATGCCTTTATCTATTACTCTAAAAACACTCGTTAGATTACCATAAATAACAAAAAAAATATAAAACTTTTAATAAGATATTATTTACGATAGAGTTAATAATCAAATATAATCACTTATTAGTTTGCCTTGACAGAAATATATAAGAAAAATCAGTAAAAAAAAAGTTTATTTTTTATACAAATAGTTGAAAGAAAAGCAACAAAATGATATTTGGTAAAATATGCATACTCATGAAAAAAAAAAAAAAAAGGATTCTGGTTTGTTTGAGGAGAGAGAGAGGGGAAAAACCCTAGGCAAAAACTCACAACGGCCATGACGCTTCTACATCTCCAGTAGGTTCGTTGTCACCGGAGTTTCCCCAATGAGGGAGACATCTTCCATCATTCCTCCCTCTCCTAAACCTCTGCCTCACCCTTCTCACCATCCCATCACACAACCCACTACCTCAGAACCGTCTGAGCAAAAACCTCAAACCTTAATACTACCTATGTAGCTGCTGCTATCAACAGAACAGAAACCCAGCATTATTTCCTATCCCTTACCATTACAACCAAGCCCCCTCGTCTTTTGAAAGAGAACCAGCAGTGGAGTTCTCAATAGCAGATCTGCAGCAGTCTTCCAAAATATTTGAGTTCTCTTTGGTGGCAAAATTCTCCAAAGGCCATCCTCCCATTAACAATGGGGGTTATCAGAAACTCAGTGGTTAGATTAATTAACCCATGCCATGTATTAATCCGTATGTTCTCTAGAGAAGACCTCATTGAGGCCTGATCTCACAACAATCATCTAATTGAAAACTCGATATTCTGCTTGTTCAAATGAGATGAAATATTCAGCATGAGATTTGAGTCTTCAACGGCTGCAGTTTAGATAAGACTTTTAAGCTTCCCTATCTCTTTCTTTCCCTCAGCATTTTTAAAAGAGATTGTTCATCCTTTTGGGGGCTTCTTACGTCCAGATAAACGAACAAGGAACAAATCTCACCCCATGCATGCTAGGTTTTTTTAAAGTAGATTTAGCAACCCTTATTCCAACTTGAATATGGATATCAGTTTGCCTTGATAAATCGAAAGGCTTTTGGCAGCCTCTACAGGTTGAATCTAATACATCTTATTGTGATTACTATAGACTATAAGGTCACTTGAAAAGCAATTGTCAAAAATTGCATTGTAAAAATCAAGATTTGATATAGTAGCCAATTATCAAAACATCACACTAACAAGATCCAATTATGAAGCAGACATTGGCCAATCGTTAAGAAGAAGGGCACATTGTAACAACATTCTTCGGTTCCAATTCCAACACACAATAAATCCCAACCTCAATCAATCAATGATAAATCAGCTAGAACCAAGTCGAAAGGTAAAGAAGTATTTGCTTCTTCGTCTATCATGCTTCACCCTCAGCAAAATCACATTGACAGTATGGTATTATCATCTTGTTCTAAAGGGAAGGTTATGGTCTCTGGCATAGAAAGTAGCCAATGTCCTCAAGATGTATCTGACCAGAATATCAATAAGGGTAATACTCAGAGTCAAACAAAGGAAGGGATCAACAATGAAATTCAGATTTTATGAGATAATAATATATCTGTAAATGCAGGCACCTATACTCAATCAATAATTCCACGAGAAACTGTCACTCTAAATACTGGTGAAATAGTACCTGCATTTAATGGACAGAATAGTACCATACAGATGGTGATAGTTTTGCCTGAATAAGGGATAATTGGGCATGATGGACTTAAAGAAAGGACTGTAGACTGACAGAAGATAATGGTAGGATTCAGCAATCCATAAATGCCACTGCATTTTGTTGCAGAAATGATACCCTACATGATCCCTTTACAGGAGTTTGCTTCTTAAAATTCATTTAATTCCTTGTGGGGTTTAATGCAAGACAGTTTGGATGATGGGGTTCTACTAGATCATGTTGAGCCTGAACTGCCTCCTCAAGCTGCTTCAGAAGGAGATTTGGATAAACATACTTGGTTTGACTCAGACTTACAAGGCAGACATGATTATGTGGGAAAGTAAGAACTTGTCATGCCCAAAAAACAAAAAAAAACAAAAAAAAAGGCAACTTTTACGAAATTTAGTTCAGGACAGTGGTAGACGAGTTATGAGATCCAATGGTGATCACAATGGAGAACCCTTCTTCTCCCTTCCCTATGAATAGCTTTTTATGGAATCCAAGAGGTATTGGTGCCTTAGGAAAAAAAACCAGAGATACTTGAGAAGTTTAATTAGGCAGCATCAAGTTTCTCTTCTTGTCATTTTAGAGCCTAAGCTAATAAGTGATAAATTTGCTACACTTGCTAGATCCCTTCATTTTTCTGATGTTTTTCATGGCAACCTAACCAACAAACATAGCTAGATCTTTTGGAAGGATAGGCTTATGGTGGATGTCCAATTTGTTTGTTCTCAATCCATTACCGCTAGTATTAAAGATTTAGTGACTCGCTATAGATATTTTATTCGTGGCGATTGTCGTAGGTCGACGTCGGGGGCAAGGTGACGTGTTTAGGCAAAAATAGGAAAAATGGACAAAAATAACTAGAGTGACCACCTAATATTATGGTTACTAGGAAACCCTATGACTGGTCCGTTCAAAGTTTTGGATAAGGGATTTATTACGTGTAGCAAAATTAAAAATCATTCTACCCTATCCTACCTAAAGCAAGCTGAATTGTATACAAACTTTGATTTGATTTCGATTTTTAATGATGAACGTCTATGCCTATCTCTCAAATATTTGCCCACTAGTCGAGTGATTTGAGACTTGGTCGGTCAAAGACCTTGTCCTCGCTCTTTAATGCATAGCTAAGAAATGAATAGTCGTGATGAATTACAAGGATATGTGGCTAATGCGACTTACATGACATGGGTGAAAAATAAAACTTAAAAATAATAGGCAAATAGACGGACAAACAAAAGAGATAGATTGACAAAATCAACAAATAGACAATTAGTCAAAAAAGGAAAAATTGGCAAAAATGTATAACCGGACAAATAATGGCAAAATCGATAAATTTACAAAATTGACAAATACACAAATTGGCACAATTTACAAAAATGAGCAAACAAGGAAACAATGACAAAATCGATGAATTGGCAAAATTGGCAAATAGGAAAAATCAACAAAAATTGATAAACGAGCAAAATCGATAAATATGCAATTAGGCAAAATGGACAAATTGACAAAAATTGACAAAAGACTATAAAAATACAATAAAAATGACAAAACTAACACAATTGGAAAAAATAGCAAAATTGACATAAATTATTAAAATTGATGAAAACAATTCAAAAAATAGAATTAAGACTTACAAGATTTTAGAAAGATGTGATTTTCAAGCGAAATTGACAAAATCGTTGAAATTGACAAAGACAAACTAAAAATCGAATTCGGATTGACACGACTCAAACATCACGTTTTTGAACAAAATTGGCATAATATTAAGTTGATCATCACAAATTGCAACAACGGTCCAAAAATGAGATTCGGACCAACATAACTCAAGAATCATATTTTTAGGCATCAAATTAACACAATATTAATTGATTGTTACAATTAGCAAAAAAAATCTAAAACAAGGATTCTAATTAAAACGCCATTTAAAAGTCGCATTTTTTGACGAAATGTCAAAATCAATCAATATTGATGAAAGTAATCCAAACAATGAGTTTCAAACTAGTAAGATCCGAGATTGCATTTTTTAGGTAAAATTAACACATGAACGATTTAAATTCTTTATCAGCAAAAATAGTTCGACTATGTGGTTCGCACGAGCAATAACAAATATTTACAAAATAAACACATTAACCAAATCCATAAGCATAACAACAATATAATTAATTTATACGGATATTATAACAAATTAATTAATTATAGACACATTAGCATAAATGAATTTAATACATATTAAAATAAAAATAAAATAAAGTGAAAGGTAAAATAAATTACTATAAACAAACAAGTGGATTAGACTCGTTGAATTAAGATCCGTTTCGACTCTTTTTAACCACTATGAAAACCGATATTCAATCAACCGAGGAGAAAGGTTGGTTATTGGTAATCGGATCTAACCGAATGGAGTGGAGGGCCTATTGGATCAAGGCGATTAAACGACGTATAGTTAAATGGGGTTGCCGACCGCAGTCGGTTCGGCCAAAAATGGTTCGACCAATTCACCGTAGATCCGATGAAGAAAGTTCGATTGGTTTTTGGATCAATTATAGGAAAGGTCGATTGAAACTAGACCGATTGGATCGAGCTAATGAGGTAAGAAGGAGCTCGCTGGAGGGATCAAATCGGATCGCTATCGATCAATGGGCTTTCGGATTGATGGCGAAAGAATGATTGATCGACTTCGGATGTCGGGCACCGAGCTAACTGGGTTTTTGGGTGGTTGCTACGACGTGAGGGTGGCAAATCCGAACGATCGGCAAGTTGGATCAAGGCCGGAGTTGATCGAGCGAGGCGATGGGATGGACAACTCGCTGGTTTGGTTTGATCGTCTAAAGGCTCGCCGATCGAAGTTTTTGGCGGAAGCTAGTTTGGTTTGGTGTGGTCGAAGGGGTTGAGCCGATCGGTGAGGCTAATCGAAGGTGGAGGAGAGGTCGGCTGGAATTTTTCGAAGAGAAAAATTGTGTGGATGCCGGTTCTAGAGAAAGAAAATGGCCGAACAGCTTGTCCTATTTTTTGAGAAAAGTGGGTTTTTATACTAGGTTTTTAAGGTTTTTTGGACTAAGTTTGGTTTGGTCTTTCATTTCGTAAACTCATTTTATTTTGATCCTTTTCTCCTTTTTTTCTTTTATTGCATCCCACAATTGTATTTTTTTTAGTCCTTTTTTTTATTTTGTTTGGATTTTTTGGAAGAAATTTAAGTGCTAACGGTTGCCTCTTTTTTACAATGCTTACAACGCAAAGCCATTGAAAATCGACTTTTCTTTGGCTTTGCATAGTAAGCTTGTAAAGAAAATCATAAAAGGATGGCAAGCGAACAAATTAATCGACAAGGTCAAATGATGACTAGCCGTTCTTAAATCGTTGATCCATTGTAGAAGGCTTTCCTCGAAAGGCGAGTTAATATTGGTAACCATTTCCGAGGTCAAAAAGGTAACCTCGCCTTAGCAATGAACCGAGTGTAAGCAACATACCCGATTATTATCAAAGAAACATAAATTCTTACCGCCAAAACATACACTTTCCTCTCAATCGCAATCCGCTCTCATTGGAATAGGCTCGTGGTTTCTAGGTCTGGTTGCTCTTGTAAATTTTCATCTATTTAATTTTATGTCTTCCGAATCCTTTTTTTTTAGTCGGTCGGCACCTTTCTCACATGATTGGACTCGTCGCTCCCAAATGCCATAATCCTTGCCATTGCACTTAGTGAGGTGCACTCTAGGGATGTCAAAGCAACCTTTGATTATTGTCGTCTGCTATTCATCATTTTTTCTTTTTACAAAAATGATTCATGAAAAAACATTTTCATCTATCAAGGGCTAATAATATTCTTATAATTTCTATCATTTGTCCTTTCTTTGCATTATTATTTTTCATAAATCACATTAAAACATAAGATTGCACATGTGATCAATAAAATATTTTATTTGTTTTTCGAGGATTGATTACCTTTGTGATGGTGTAGCTTATTTTGATGGATTGAAAATTAAGAATTGTTCATATGGGATGGATTAAAAAGAGGAGGGAAGCAAAGTCAAAATGATTAGACTAGCAAAATATTTAACCATAATTCGGATTGTTTCCTTTCTTGTAATGGAACGAAGAAAAACATCGTATGCTTAAGCATGATGTATTTTTATAATGTCGAATTCATAGCTTTGGCAAGACCTCACCATCCATCTTCATCAAGAGAAGAGCTCATCCGGATAATGCTCTTTACACAACGTATGGACCATCATAATTAGGTGCCCACTTACTTCTTTCCGCCCTAGGGATTGGGAGTACTCTCTTTAAAACTAGATCACCTTCGTTAAAGGTTCTTATACGGATCTTCTTATCTTACACACAGGTCATTCTTTTTTGATACAATTGTGTATGAAAGATAAGCGTTAGTCGCTTCTCACCGATCAAATTCAACTGTTCATACCGATTTGGGCCCATTCCGACTCATTTAGCTCTGCTTCTTTTAATACCCTCGGAGATGGTATCTTTACTTCCATGGGCATCACCGCCTCCATTTCATAAACCAACGAGTAAGGAGTTGCCCCTCACTACACTACCATTCTATAAGCATGCAATGCAAATGGTAACACTTCGTGCTAGTCTCTTTATGTGATTACCATTTTTTGTATAATCTTTTTTATATTTTTGTTCGTAGCTTCCATGGCCCTATTTATCTTGAGTCTATATGGCGAGGAATTATGATGCTTGATTTTCCACTATTCATATAATTCCGTGATCATCTTTTCATTAAAACTCTATGCATTATCCGTGATCAATGTCTCTAGAGGCCCATATTGACAAATGATGTCTCTCTCGCACAAATCGACGAATCACTTTTTGGGTTACATGTGCAAATGACGCGAGCTTCCACCAACTTGGTGAAGTAATCGATTGTTATCGGGATGAATTAGTAACTATTACTAACTTTCGGGTTTATCGACCCAACCACATCCATCCCTCACATTACGAATGGCTAAGGAGATACCATGTTGTAGAGAGGTGCGGGAGGAGCATTTATTCGGTTTGTTTAAATCGACATTTATGGCACTTCGTACATAGTCGATGCATGGTAGTCTAAAAATAGCCGCACCTCTAAATTTGATGAGTAATTATATGCTTGTTGGCATATGTTACAAAAATCCCCTCATGAACCTCTTCGATCACCTCTTTGGCTTTAGTAGAGTCTAAACATCTTAGCAGAGTTCCATGAAAGCTTCTTTTATACAATGTCTCATAATCTAGATAAAAATTCATTACCAACCTTTGAAGTACATAAAGGATATTCTCGATACTTTATGAACTACTTGGTATCCTCATACCATGGCTTTTCATCGAGCTCATCTTTAATCGGACAACATGAATGTGTTGGGGCATTTACGAATTCAATACATATAAGATGAATCTTTATACCATATGCTAACTTTATCATTACAACCGATGTAGCCGGGGTATTAGTGAAGTGATTATTGTCTCGATCCGAATGGGTGAACTCTATCTCATCAAAACAGATCAACTAGCTTTGTTAAATACTCATGCTACGACTTCAACTTTTCATTTTTTGTCTACCATTCTCCTTTGACTTAATTGATTATTAGTAGTGAATCACCATACACATCCAAATTCCGGATCCTCATTTTTAAGACTCGTTTCTAATCCATGCACACATGCCTCATATTTTGTCATATTTTTATACATTCAAACTATAGTTTGATAGCCATCTGGAACTACTTTTCATCTAGTGAGATGAGGATTGATCCGACACCATTTCCCTTCACGTTAACTATCCCATCAAAATATATGGTTCGTTTGTTAGTTTTAGACTTAGATTCATCCTCGATAACTAAAACTAACTCATCAAGAAAATTAAACTTCAAATGTTCATAGTCGTTGATTGCATTATCTACTAGTTGATCGGCTATAGCACTTTTTTTACTACTTTTCTCATCATATACATAATATTATACTTAGATAGCATGACTTGCCATTGGGCAATATGGTTGGATAGATATTGATTTTCAAAGATATCCTTAAGTGGGTTCATCTTTGAAATCAACCATATGGTGTAATAAATCATATATTATCTAAACCTTCTTACATATTATACCAAGCCATAACACATCTTCTCAAGCACATGATATCGAGACTCATAGTCGATGAATTTCTTACTCAAGTAACGAGATAGCTTGCTTTTTCCTTCTTGATTCATCACAATAGCCTAACACACAACCCATAGCTATCTTTATCACTATCAAGTACGGAATCAAAGGCCTTTCAAGAACTGGTGATACTAACAACGATGGACATGTGTAGGTATTGTTTGATTTTATCAAAGGCTAGATGACAATCTTGATTCCATACACCAGGATTCTTCTTTTATAACAATCAAAAGATCAATTCACAAATCTTTAATAATTAAGATATGAATCGAGCTATATAGTTCAAGCGACCTAGAAAACTTTTAATCTCCTTTTTAGATGTAGGTACCGACATTTTTTGAATCATCTTAAATTTATCTAGATCAACTTCGATTCTTTTGTTACTTACCACAAGCCTATTAGTTTTCTTGACTTCACACCGAATGTGTATTTTGCTGGATTTAGCTTCAATCCGTGCTTCCTCGGCCTCTCAAAAAGCTTTCTCAAGGTTAGAGTGTGATCTTTACCTTCTTTCGAATTTGTAATAATATCATCTACAAGGACCTCGATATCTTTATACATCATGTCATGGAATAGTGTGACAATGGCCTTTTGATAGGTAGCTCTAGCATTCTTTAAACCAAAAGGCATAACCTTATAACGAGAAAGTCCCCTAAAGCATGATAAAGGTCATCTTTTCCTTATCCTCTATGACCATTTTGATCTAGTTGTATCCCGAAAACCTATCAATGAATAAATAAGTGCATTATTTGTTGTGTTATCCACCGAGCATGTCAATATGGGAAGTGGAAAATTATCCTTCGGATCGGCCCTATTCAATTCATGAAAGTCCACACATATTCAAATTCGACCATCTTTCTTCTCTACGACAATAATATTCGATAAAGGGTACTAAAACTCTCTAAAAATCCAACATCTTACTATTTCTTTATCTCATTTTTGACTTTTAGCGAATATCCGGCCTTATTTGCCTCAACTTCTATTTCACTCGGCTTGCTCTTTAGGTTCAAGGGTAGTCTATGTTCCATTATGTCGTTGTCTAAGCTTGACATATCAGCGATACAACCATGTAAATACATCTACATACTCTTTTAGAAGTACAATCAACTTCTCTTTTTTGTACTCTCCATCGTGGTGCCCATCTTCAACTCCCTTATATTCTACTTTATTCTCACATTTATCACCTCCAAGTCTTCTTTGTGCGATTGAAGGGACTATTCGATTGTTCAACCGAACTTAGTGAATTCTTGAATATCATTATCATCCCATTTTTACACGTCCATTATAATTAAGGTTTCATCAAACTTAGACCAAATATTTTTAGAATAATCATTTTGGGTTTTTAAGAAGTGATCATATTGATTGTCTTTAAGATAAAAATAAAGAGCAAAAAAAGAATAACGAAGAAGGCAAAGGCTAAAATTCAAACAAATTTTACACAATCCTAATAATTAATGTCCTTATGAAAAACAATAACAATGGATAGTATAATGTTTTATATACTATAATGTTCAAAGAACAAAGATGGAAATGAAAACAAAATTACTCGACCTTGAAGACTTAAAGTGCTTATTCATCGAACCAATTATGCAACTCTTCTCCTTTGGTGAATTTGCGAACGAGCTAATTGAGATCGAAGGTATCTCCTAGTGTATTGATTATAAGTCGGGGCAACTTGCACTAGCTAAGGTTGGTATTGGCTGGATAGATTGGCCTTCATCATCAATTTCTTCAAATTC